TTCCGATTATCACCTGTAACCAATACAGCAGTTGCAGAATAAAGAAAAGCAATTTTCCCTTGTAATTATTTCACCACATTTCTGGTGAGACTAATTACAGTTATTTGGCTTTGCTCAGCGCTCGGTCGACCTGTGCCCATGTGCGGGGCTCATGCTCGCCCGCGCTGGCAAGACCTCAGCAGAGGTACCAGAGGGTGCCAGGATGTGCTGGTCTGGGAGGGACTGATGCACCCCACTGCTTGTGGCTACGTCCCCCACTGCCCAATGGAAATGCCAACAGGCATCTAGTGAAGAAGGGATGCTACCCCACTAAAAATTTGACTGTGGGCATCCAAGGAGGTGGCAATGCAATGACACCTGGAGGCCACCACCCCTTCACTAGCCCTGAGCAAGAAGAGAGAGACATTCCACTAGTGTCTGAGACGCCCTGGACCCCACAACTGGGCACAGAGAGGGATCAGCATTGCACTAACGCATCCATCTCCTACAAAGGCACTCCCCACCGCTCCTGATCATAGGGATAATTAAACTCCAATTCCTTCCCAAACCCTTCCGACACGTCTAACCCAGTTGCAGGGGACAGGGAGCTGCAGAGCACTGGGAGACGGGCGCAGCCGTGAGCCTGGTGAAATTATGCCTCTTAATGAAGCCACGGCACAGATTATGATGCGTGTGTTTCTGCCTGTTACGAATCAGTGCACTAACGAGTGTGTGTCTGGCAGATGGGACCCAGGAGCACAATGCATCTCAAAGATACAGATTTCTAATTAACAAAGTATTTTCGAGTAACTCCACAGCTCCAGACTGGGAGTTCTCCATGATGGTTTCCACCGCCCCTGCCATTGTGCTGCAATCCCTAATTATCAACAGGGAACCAGGGACAAAGACACAAATACTCATTGCAAGGTCAAAAATCACCGTGCAGGAAATGAGAGACCAGTTTCCACATCCAAAGCACAGGGTTACACGCTTCCCGTGGGTGGACCCTCCAGGCAGGTTGCAACACAGGACAGGGGTCACTTCAAATTGTCTCTTTCTGACCCACAAGTTGTCTTGCAGAAGAGTCAGAAGACTTCCTCTCCAACAAGAAAGAAAGAAAATGAAAAGAAAGAGCAAAGAAAGAGAGCGAAGAAGAAATGGTTTAAGGAAGCATCATGGACATGGTGCAGTCTGCAGACCTTACGAGGTTGGTACTGCAGGGAGAAGGAAAGGAGTGAAAGGAAAAACAATCATCTCTTCTGCAGCGGCCCCTGTCCTGTTTTGCTCAGCTGGGGCCAGGAGCAGCAGGAGGAGCAGCCTCACGGCTCGTCCCAGCGAGCAGGGTTCACACGTGCATCTCATCCCAGCAGGAGACAAGTTTCCTCTGCAGACCTCTAAGGAAGGCCATTTCTCACACCTCGTTATTTCCTCAAGGCATCCGGGCTCACACACAGCTCTCAGGAGGACAGCCTGGTTTTAGGGCTCCAAAGCCGCCAAGCAGGAACCTCTTTCTACCTATAACCTCCCGTTGGGGGCTGCTGCTGCTGAGAGGAGCCACCGTACCCCATGCTGTGGGCACTGCTGTGGGCTTTCCTGGGACCTTACTGACCTCATTGCGAATCACAAGTAATTCCAGGGAAGCTGAGGGATTTTGGAGTCTATGAAAAGGCAGTAGGAGGACACTTGAGCCCCAAACATGACTGTTATCACCCTGACAGGCAGGATAAACCAGGCTTTGAACAATAAACCCCTCTGCTGTGAGCAAGGCTACCTCTGTGCTGCCCAAGCTTTTGGCTTTAATTTTTACACCCCCCAAAGAAAAGCCTTGGCAGAGGGGGCAAAGGCTTGCAAGGCACCCAGGAACCTGCTGTCAGGGCCACCCAGGGACCATGGGGTGGACCACGGGGCTGCGCGGGCATCCACAGCCTGTGGGAGCTTGTAGTCCTGCCGTTCAGCCCAGCACCAGCACAGGCAGGCTCGTGGCCTGATTGCTGGTGAATAATTCATTGTTAAATCACTTAAATCCCTTCATGTGACCCACAACTGGAAACATTGCCAGAGCCCCCTGTGCTCTGTCCGTACTATAAGCACAGTTGTGAATTTAAGCCAGTTTCCCCCCCCAAAAAAGGACAGAGCCTTTCCTTTAAAAAGACAGCTCTTAACATCTGATCTCTGCCCCAGAATGGAGGCTGGCTGCGTGGTGCAGGGGACCACTGAGGAGAGATATCAAGCGACCCCGGGCTCATAACAGGAGCAGTTAATCCACAGATGGATGGGATTTCCCCCCCAAGTCCCGCACTTCCCAGGCACTGGGTTGCACTGCTGCTGTGCCTGTGCAAATGGGGATTTTACAAGGGTAGCCTCCAATACATCAAAATTAACCATATCCTAATTGCAATGGTCATCCAAAGCTACTTACCAAACACCTTCTCCATGGGGCACAGCCAGGCCCTCCCCAAAAACTGGCACACAAGCAGGGAGAGGAACAGGAGGAACGGGAACTTTGAAGAAAGCCCAGGAATTGCTTGATGTATTGGCTCTATTTAGTTTCTAAATGAACAGCAATCAGCCAAGCAAAGGAACAGGACAAGATGCAGTACCATAAAACCAGCTACAGAAAGAGCTGGAAAAGTATTCCCACAGGCTTAGCTTTTATTTCTGATAAAATGGGCCTGTCCTCTCCTACTCCACCAGTCAAAGTCCCTCTGCTATCGCTATCGCTGCACCAAGCTGAAGCTCTTTTCCTTGCAAAGAGACGGATGTGAAGAGGGGCTCTGTAGTTCCCAGGTCATTCAAACCAGATACTAATTACACCCCTAAGCAGAGCACTGATGGGTTCTGGATGGCCAACAGACACACAAAACAAACTCAATTCAGAAACTTAATATCTGAAATTTCCTGCAACATCTGACAGCAGGGCTGGGTTAAGCCAACACCGATACCTGGGAACAGGACCCCATTGCTCCCTTGGAGGCATCACAGGGCACTTGCAAACCCCAGCCCAGAGAAGGGGGGCTCTGGGGAAACACCCAGGGTTGTTGGTTGCAGAAGGAATTACCCATCAACTAACACGCAGGCGAAACCAGGAGCATCCCTAAGGTGCACAAATAAAGCAGTGGGTGCTCAAGCACAGGGAAGACAAGACAGATGCTCTCCCTGTTCTCTACATATTCTCTATATTATGGCATTCAGATCTTAGCAAAGGGTTGGCTTCAACTCACAGCTGCTCCCTAAATGAACATCTAAACCAGAAACCCAGGCAAATCCCGTCCTACAAACCCTCGCTGGGGCAGAGCCAGCCGCCAGAGCCACGTGTTCGCAGCCCTGGCGTCGCTGCCGTGCCGTCAGGGCTTGTTTATAGCCGAAACCTCACCCCCGTGATGAAAACCATGAAAAACCTCAGCTATTTCCTGGCTCTTCCAAGGAAAGGCAAGCGTTACAGCAGGCTTGTGAGATAAAGCCTCGCAAATCTCTGGCACGCGGACATGCTCACACAACCACTCCAAGCTGATAATTAAGGACAGGGATTGGTAATTAAAGCCAGAGTGGCACAAACCCCTGCTTTACATTTTTTCATTTTCAAGAATTTCTTGTCTTTTGGGCTGTAAAGAACTCCCCACTGCCACATCAGTGTAACTTTAATAATGCCCTGATGGGATGACGAGGGGTGTGCATTTCCTATTCTAATTAAGAAAAAAAAACCCCATGAAGGTAACTAAGCTCCTGGGTCATTACCTGGCTCCATGTGCTGAGCCCAGCCTGTGGGGTACAGCCTCGCAGCACGCAGCCCCGACATACTGCCTCTATTTCTGACGCTTTGCAGGGAAGGGCAAATTTTAGTCATCAATATAATAGCTTTCAGCACTAAAGTTTTACAGGGATTGATTAAACACAAAAGTGCAGTTACCACTGCCTATGAAATGGAGGTGTTTCTCCACATTTGGGTCTCTAAAGGCAACAGGGTGCAAGGATGCTGAGCCAGATCTCCGGGAGACGTGGTCCTAATCCTATTTGGCCATGCAATCCTTTATTCCTTTGTGTCTGTTTTCCTCCTGTGTCCATTTTCTTCCCCTCTTCTCTTTTCAGACTAAGTTTTTTCACTGCATTAGTCTCCACTATGTTTACAAATGGCTACAAACAGCATCTACTACAACAGGAACCCAAACTGTCTTGGGACCGTGAGCCAGCACCTGCATACAAATCCTGACTCTGCCAGATTGTGGCTTCTTTTGTATTTCTCACTTCCTTAAACAAAAATAATAAATACATAATGCATAACATCACGGAAAACAAGGACTCCTTTCCGTTCCCATCAGCCTCACCCACAAGATTTTCAGCTCCATGGACCCAGGATGTCGGCAGCTGGAATGCTTTGCTGAGGAACCAGGTGAGGAGGGGATCGGGGTCATTTATTCACTATTTTTAATCAAACAGTTCCTTTCATGCAAACACACTGCAAGCCACGGTGTGTGTGGTGACACGTGCTGGGACATTAATTACTAGTTAATGAGGATGTCTTGAAGCAGTTTGTCTCCTGCTCTCCAATGCCCAGCAAGGGGATGTTTGGAGGATGGATGGTTCAGATTTTCCAGCCCATTCCCCCTGCCCGGGCACTCCCGTGCTGCTTTCCTCTGCAACCAGGAAAGGAAAATGGAAAAGGAGGAAAACACCTCTGGGCGAGCATGAAGCAACCTGATAACATAACCATGCACGGGGGAAATGCTGGTGACAATTTTGGAGGTTGTGGCAAGCTGAGAAGGTTTTGACCTCCTGGCTCCCTCATAGGCCTGGCTAATGGTTTTAAGCACTTTCCTTCATCGTGGTGGGTTTGTTCCTCCTGTCGCAGCAGGCGTGCAACAGGCAGCACCCACCGGCACCCACGTTTGCACACCACGGCCAAAAGCATCGCGGAAGAACCCCCTTCCCACTCTCCTGAGCCTGCAGGTGGCTCCAAGGATGCAAAGACCAGGGAGGGAACAGTGGCCCACTGGGGTGACAGTGGCTTTCGAAAGCCAACTCACCAGGACTGTGGCTTCCTCTTCATGATGCCCTGGCGTCTCCACTGCGAGTGGGGGCTGAGGTGGTAGGTGAGCTGCCGGCAGAGCTTCTCCATGGCCCCAAGGGAGTCCCCCTCCTGCAAAGACAAGGGAGGGACGCCAGGTAAGGTGTCTGCAGCATTGCCATCACACCTGCAGGATGCTCCGACCCCAGAGCGGCTCCCTGCTAGGAGCTGGCAAGCCACAAAAATCACATAAGGAAAGGGGAAAAAGAAACCCCACTGACTGCTGAGATGCTGCAAGGATGGGGTGTTTCACCAAGGGCCACCCTGTCCTGCATACCCATGGACATTGCTGCTGGAGAACGAATGCAGGGGTGCACGAGTCCTGCCTGGTTAAGGATGACGAGGTTCCTTCTCGGCTGCTGCGCTGGGGTTGAAGGGATCCGCACGGTGGGCTCATCTCTTTGCAATTCATGCAGCAGCACCAGCACTGTTATCATTTGATACTACGTAATAGCTTTCAGCACTAAAGTTTTACGGGGATTGATTAAATAAACAAAACTACCCATCTGTTACTGTCAAAACTGCTTTACAAAAGAGCAAATACTAAGAGGCTTTGCACACTGATGGAGATCTTGGGAACAGCGCTCATCAGAAACTCTCAAAACATATATTTGTTAGGAAAAAAAAAAAAGCCTCAAGGAAACCAGGTGGAGTCTTCTCAATCCTCATGAAAATTTCCACCCAAAAGGATGGTGGCTTGGAAAACTTTAACTCTGACAGTTTGTAAGAATTTGGTTCTAGAAATTTTAGTTCCTAAAAAGAATATGAATAATATGAATACAAATCCTAGTATCTGGACCATTCAATCATGTTTCATTTCAAGATTTTTATATACTAAGGCATGATATAACATCCAGTAATGTAAACCATCCGTATTGCTCTGCCTGGCTTGCTCTCTGAAAGGTCACAAGCAGAGATTAACCTGACCTAAAGAACAATAATGATAAAAACCCCCAAGATGTGACAATTTGTGGTATCTGCCTGGTTTTATGAAACTGATGCAGCATGAAACATCTTAGAGAAGACACAGAATAATTACTTATTGCCTATTTGCCTAAAATAAGCAGTCAGCCTGGGCTCGGCTCGCCACTGCTCTTCTTTCATGCTGATTGCTCAGGATTTTGCTGTGTGCTGGGACAAGCTGGGCAGGGATGCCGAGGAAGATGTTGCATCTTGTCTGCCTGCACACCCAATTACTGCTGCCTTCACGTCTTCCCTTCGAGCCCGAGCAATGTATTCTCCCACCTCACCTCCAAGTCAGCAGAGCGGGACCAGCCTTATAAAGACATCATAAATATTGAATTAACCAAGGAGCAATAGGGAGTTTGACAAATCACCTCTGTGTGTGCAAGGAAACAACTACAGCAGCTTTTCTCAGGGTAGAAAAAAATCAACCACAAACCCAGGACAGAAGGGGCATATCTGCAGATGGCTGGAGCAGAAATATCAGTCTAGGACTTGTGGTCTTTAGCTTCTCTGTTCAATCCACTCAATAAGGTACAAAGCCTTGACAGAAATTGGGGTAGTTTCTTCCCAGCCATATGCAGGTGCCTACACAGCAACTACCATTCATCAAAAGCTGATGTAATTCAGGAGCGATGCTTGTCCAGCTCCAGCTGGGCAAACCGGCAGCAAAGCGACAGGATCAACGCTCATCTCCCTCCATCAGGCACCCAGTGACAGGTGACTTTGGCAGCTCAGGGAGAAATTCCAGATCCACAGATCCTGGCAGGGCACAGTGTACAGAAATGCCATGTCAGCACGAGCTGTAAACAGCGTGAGTCAGGAGCCATTTCACATCTGAGCTCCTCAAGTGTTTGACGGCTGTATCTCTGGATTCCTAGGAAATACGGGTTTAAGAGCATATTTAAACCCATACTTATCAACACCTCATTTATCACCACGCTTAACTTGAAATAAGGGGTTTAATCCTGCAAATTTCAACGGGACATCAGCCATGCTAAACCTCAGGCATGCCGAAATCTCCCCTCCCGCTGGCGATCCTGCGGCAAGAAATATCTATTGCTCTAGGCTTGGGGATGGGTGAACCCTAGGAGGCTCAGCCTGTCAAATAAACACAGCAAAAAATAATGAAAGAGAACTTTTTAGTTCATGTTTTCCACTGGAAGGTCTGGAAACACATCGCAGCCATTCTTTAATTAAAGCCTCAAAACATTTTGGGAAGGCAACAGCATGCGTTGCTCCCTCTAACTGCTCTCCATTTGCTCTCTGCCAGCAACACCTGCCTCGCTGTGTAACCAGCATTCCTAACGGGAGAAGAAAATACCATGAGTTTTGACACCTACGAATTTTTTTTTAACCAGCCCCTGCAATAACACCCTCAGCACTGCGCGGGGGTTTCCATCTCTGAGCCCTCGCTGCATCGCGTATAAAAACTCCTGTTGAAAAGGAAACAACGTGCTAAAATGTTGTGGAGTAAGTAGCCACTGCGTTGCAGTTCAGCGCTGCAAATCGCCTCCGATAGCATCCTGAGACAACTGTCTCCAGTATTATCCTGATAACGAAACTGTTGGGGAAGTGAAACGATTCACAAGAGGTATGCGGCAAAAAAGCTGAGAAAGTAAAAGAAACAAGTTTTTGCTGGTACAAATGTGTCAGGACCATCTTCTCCCTCAGCTAAGAGATTTTTTTCCCCCCAAGCAGTGTGTGCACGCTGGCCTTTGGTGTGCAGCTGACAGCCCTCCCGAGCGGTGTGTCCAGATGGCTGGTGGAGGCTCAGACCTGAACTTCACATCAAGCCAATTTCTGAGAAATTCAGCCCAAAGAAATCCCCTCATCAGAACCCAGCACATCGTCCATCAACACTGATACAGCACACCGAGGGCTCCAAGGAAACATGCTAGAGCAGGGCAAAGCATATTTTAATCCCTATCTCTCTACATCGATGCCCACAGCCAGCTCATTCTTCACACGGTCATTCCCACCATGTCACTCTTCCAGCCCTTTTTTCTTCACAATCAAGCTCAACTCACAAGCCCTGCAGGCACCGGGCTACTTCTATTTCAGCGTTTTAAAACATGATTTAGAGAACATGACTTCTGCAAACAGCAACTCACGCATCTCCTTCTGGTCTCGGTATAGTGCAAGGGTACAAGCCAGCCACAAAAGTATGACCTTTTCCATGCTGGTCTGTAGTGGTCTGTAGATAAATGCCCCAGTTTAGCACTGGGATATGTCTCCACAAGACACACTACTTTGGGGTTGGGCTCCTTGCTTCTACCCATCTCATTCCCATCACTGCACTTCACCTGCCCATGGGTGAGATGAAAACGTCTCTGCTTCAAGAACCCACTTTTTTCAGGTACCTTCCTAAACCTCTGCAATTCCTCCCGAGAGCTTTGCAGGAGGCTCCAGAGCAGCCCCAGGCCTGACCCCCGGCATACAAGAGCTGCCCTGGGTTGCACAAAACACATGTGCAGAAGAAGGGATTTAGCTGATGTGGTGCCAAAGGCAGAGCTGGACGCTCGTCTTACGGTCTAAACAAAGGCTTTTTCGCTGTTTATGATCCAAGTCTATCAGGAAATAATTGAAGCTGACGCACACCCTGGTGGGATCGAGCCCAAGAGCTTGTTTGAAAACTGAGTCAGCTTAAAAATCAGCCCAGCTTGCTCGTGTTGACAAGGTTTTAACCTCGCTGCCTGGTGAAAGGGGAGAGCATTGCATGTGGGACTGCCAGAAGAGCCGGGGGTTACTGCATGACACCGGCAGGAGCGAGGATGCTGAGCACTATCCCCGTTGGCAGCCACAGGCTTCCTGACGCCACGCTCGCATTACACTGTGATGCTGACCCTCCTTCTGATGCAGGGTACCATGTCTGCTCTCCATCGTCTCTGCTCTGTACCATCAGCATCCTCAGGCGTGATGCAAGAGAAGACGCAAGCCCCTCTGGGCAGGCAGATACTGCTGCCGCCCGTCCTTGCTGCTTCCAGCGATTAATCACTTCCCGCAAAATCAAAAGCAATGGCCAAAAGGTCTTTCTGCCCCACCTGCATCAGTCTATATTACATCACTGTAAGGCTGGGGTTTTTTTGTGGTCAGAGGGCGCATGAGTGGCAGGGCAGACTTACCTCAACCTGTAGAAGCTGAAACCCATAGCGCTGGGCTTTGGCAAACACTATGTGCCCTTTCCGGAGAGAAGGGATAATAATCAAGCACAAGACACATACAACAAGAGCTGCCATTTTCCCTAAGCATATTGTCTTATTACCAGAACCAAACCTCAGTAGTAATCATTCCTGAAATAATGCACAGGATCAATCTCTAGCAAAGGCACCACCAGTGATACCATGGAGGACCTGGCCCCTTCAAGCCTCAGGCACTCACGGTGCACGTGTGTGGGAACATGCATCTGTTACTCTGGTTTCCAAGCTCTGGGAGGAAAACTGCAGAGCATCTCAGGGTTGGGGAGATGGGACAGACCACACAGAAAGTTCAGCCTTCCCAGCTGACGATGCTGCCAAGAAAAAGCCTGGTTTGTGGAGCTGGGATATGCCCTTTCTCTTAGCGCTGCACTCACAGGCCAGATGATAAATGCTGATAAGATGCTGGTGATGAGCCCTCAGCTGAGCTCCCTACAGATCCAGCAGCTACTCATCTGGAAACACCTGCGAGTTTGCAAAAAAGCTCTGGGTGCCGTGATCTTGCACATGCCTGTACAGCTCCTGCATCAACAGGGAGAGAAACCTGGGTCGCGCATTCAGCAAAACCGCTTGGAGCAGCACCCAAACGGGGGGGCAAAGCCTCTCTGCAAGGAGCGAGAAAGCTGTACGGCACCCGCTTTCCTTTTCATTCGTCTTGGCTGCTCTGCTGGAAAGCTTGGAGGAGAAGAGGTGCAGAGCACGTTTGTGCAGCACCCTGGCTCTCAGCGAGACTCACGGAGCCCACAAAGAGCAAGCCCGGGTGGCAACAAGCATCAGCTCAGAGGAGCAGTTTTTGGGCAACCTCTTGGCTTCTACTTGACCATGTTCTCTCCAAGCTGGCAGAGACCCAGAGCAGTTCCCAGACATCAGACATCATGTTGAGTGCAGGATGGAGGAGGGATGAGTGGAAAG